CTACGGTTCATTTCTGGGTACACGAGGTAATCATAAGACACCCCCTTCCTCCCCTCCTCCTGTTTCCTTCAAATCCCCCAAGCTAACTGCCCCCAGACTCCTCCTCCACTCCTTAGAAAAGGTAAGGCCTCCCATGGGGAGTTAACAAAGCCTGGCACATTAGGTTGAGGCCTGACCAAGCTCCCTGCCCTCCCACCCTTCTTTATTGAGGCTGAGCAAGGCATCCCACCGTTAGGAATGGGTTCCAAAAAGCCAGCTCAGGCACCAGAGATAGATCCTGGTCCCACTGCCAGGGACCCACAAACAGTCCAGGCTATACAACTGTCACCCCCATGCAGAGGGCATAGCTCGGTCTCATGCAGGCTCTTCAGTTGTTGGTCCAGAGTCCTTGAACTCCCATGAGTTTGAGTCGGCTTTGGTTTCTCTTCAGATCATATAAATCTTTCATCGTTTACATTGTATTTTTGAAGTACTAATATATTTTGCTAAGTTTATGTGCAGTAATGGCCTACCAACATTCCCAATTGCAGCATCTAAGAGTAAATTTATTAATTCTCACCAGGGAGACTGTTTTCCAAATTTCTGGACCTTGAGTTTATGTGGTTCATTGGCGATGCCCTCTGGTGGCCATTGTGCAAAAATAACAATATCTGGTGAGCTCTTGAGCAACTTGAACACCAAAGTGGACAAACAGTACAGGTCTCGCAGGTTCAAAAGACATACTTCTTGTGGGGGGTTAAAAAAGGCCCAAAGGCCACATTACAAACTACATCATATGGTATGTATAAATTCATCCATTATACCTGGAATCCTGAGGCAACTTCCACAGCCCGTGATTTCTGCTCATTGACTTTACAATTTACTGAGGGTAGCTGTAAGTAAATGTATCACTACAAGGCTTGACCAAAGGCTTTTGATTATCTGTGTAATTATCCTCTCTTCATAAAACATAACAGTATTTAGTTATGACTTGCAGCCTTGAAACACCCACCACCAATCACCATTACAGTACCCCTTGGCATTGTTGCCACTGTGAGATTCTCATGTGAGTCTTCATGCTGGCTATGGTGACCCATGACTGAATTTTACCACTCAGAAAATAGTGGCAGGAGGATCAAAAGTTTGAGGCCAAACTGAGCTACCTAGCAAAATCTTGTCTCAAAAACAAAAAACACAAAACAACAAAAAGAAAATCTTCATAAACACATATCATGCATGTGTGTAGAATATGCACACACATATTTGGATTTAAGTCTAACTTCTACCAGTTATTTAGTAGTGAATGGGTACTGTGCAGAATTTTAACATTTAATCAATTATTACTTGACTCAAGTTTACCCTAAATCAAATTTCTAAATTTCTATCATTGAAAGCACACTTTTTTTTCCATTGGCTTTGATATTTTAAACAACCTCTGAATCTATGTTAGTACAAATAAGACTTTTCATATACAAAATGTTCTGAAGCTTCTCAGGGCTGTAAAAGTCAAAGCGTTTCCTCTCAGTGTTTTTGGCAGGACAGTTGACTGTTGACATAGGAAACATGCATTGGCTGGTGAAGATGCAACAAGAAAAGCTACTGGGATCATTGGGTACAGTCAAAGAAAATATAGCGAGAGTTGGGAATGGCAATTTGGGTCCAAATGTGACTGAATAGAGCAGTCAATATTATTGTCTTCATAACAAAGGATTGATGTGACTCTGTTGGAATCTATAGGCCTTCCTGTATTTTCTGTATCTTAGCAGTTGGCAGATCAAGGAGATGTCCTTTTATTTGGAGATGTTGGACTCAGCCTTGAAAACCACTACGGATATTTTGAGTATCACTTCTTCATCACTTAAAGGTTCTAAGTAGCATTTGTGTGTATCAAATGCAGGAGGAAACATGGCTTATAATACTTGGCAAGAAGCTGTAAAGAGAAGTTCATATATTTCTTGGGTTGTTGAACCTGTGAGGTCCTGTTCGAAGCTAATGATTCTGCTAGCATGATGTTTAACACAATAGGAATAGCATCAATTTTTAGAATTTGGGGATACATTAGTTTCTACCAATTGTCATGAGATTTTGCCTCCTGGAAAACACCCTCCTCTATTATTTCTAGAGAGGAGAGAAAAGCAATGAGATAGAAAAAAAGGAAGGGAACTTCCTCTATAGAAGTGCAGGCAAACCAGTTCAGCACACATATTCACACTGTATGTCACACAGAGTTCCTAGTAAATGCCATGGCACATACATCCACATAATGTGTCACATAAAGTGGTTAGTAAAAACCATTTTGCCATAGATTTTCTTCACCATCTAAAGAATTCCTCCGAGGGGCCTTCTTAAGTAAAAAAAAGCTTTGGCAAGTCTGCAGGCCTAAGCAATGTTGTTTGTTGGTGACAGAATAAGAATGTTTTATGTTCAAAGGAACAAAGTTTTAAGATGTTATCTCTTCAAAGAAATTCTCCTGTTTCTGTGGGCAGAAAAAATATTCAAAGTAACAGGTCAATGTACCTAAAGCAGAGATCTCAGGAAGAGGTCAGAGGTCTAGCTTTGACGGCCTGCGAGACATATGGTTCCTGTTAATTCTTCAACCCTGAACCACAAAAGTTTCCTTTGTGATTGCCAGCGTCTGTGTGTCCATCTTCTCTTGCACCACAGTATCTTCTCTATGTACTGCACTGCCAGGTTGTAAGACCAAATTTTATAGCTACAGGAGAATAAGTCCAGAATGATTCTGATGGATCCATATGCTTTACCTTGTCTATGAGGGCATTCCTACTTCTAGAAACTGCATGCACTGTGAAATTCTCCTATGTCATCAGAAGCTCACTGACATTTATCACAACTATAACTCCGTAGTCCTTTGGCATGTATTTGCACACATATGATGAAAAGTCTATATCACCCAGTTACTTGAAAGCATTTTCTAGACCACTGGCTTTCTAAATCTCCAGCTGGCAATGTGTGGCTATAGCATGCCTTCCATAGTTCAGGTCAAATTAGCTAAAATATAAATTGAGAAAATGCAAGACATCCAGAAAGTCTGCAGCCAACTCTATCGTAGGAGAGGTAGTATCCGAAGCCATGAATGTAACCAGGCATTTGGAGGAATGAGTAACTGATGTGGATGGCAAAAGAAAATGTCCTTTGGGTGGCAGCTAACAGTTGCTGCCACCTTAGGATGATGTCATATAAGATTCAACCAAACATCATTAACATTTTGAGGCCCTTCCAGAACGTGAAAAAGAGAAACTTTATTCTGTGTTATTTTTGCAGTATCCCTATCATCTGTTTGGTTTCCTGTAGTAAGTATCACTTTAAAGAAAGGGAAACAAAGTAACTGCATAAGAGGAAATGCAAAGAGAGAGTTGGAAAAAATCTTATCTTAGATGTCTCAATAAAGGATTCCTTGAGGTCTGACAGTTTCATGTCAGAATGAAGGAATGCTGAGCTTCTTGGACCTGAATCAAGAGATTGGAACCATACTTTGGACCTACACAGAATCCTTAGCTTTTTGTTTGTCTGTTTTAATCTCTCCATACAGTGAATTCTTACAGCTATCATCTAAGTCACTAAATTCACAGGGACCCAGCAGCTATAGGTGACTAGAATTCACCAGCTCTAAGTGATGGTCTAACTCAGTTTATGCCTATACTTTATTCATGAGGATTACAGCTAAGGTGAATGGTTCCACTTCTTACAAAGACACTGAAGCAAAAATAGCAGTGATAATTTGAACCATACTATGAACAGTTTTGCGTATTTATGCATTTCTCTTAAGCTCTATTTGAACCTAAGCCTCATGCCAGGACCAGCAAAGATGGACTTGGAGTTCATGGAACTGCTTCTTTCTGTTCTCAGTGACCGACAGCCACATGGAAATCATCTCTTTTCTATGCTTTTCGATATATTTGTCTCTTTAATAAGACTCCAAGAAACACAGTTAACAGGTGGTACCACACATGATGGTTTAAATCAGATGTACCTGTTTTCAGGCCTTTGCATACTCGGTCCCAAGTTGGTGGTGGTTTGGAGAAGATTAGAAGGTGTGGTCTTCCTGGAGGAAGCATGTTACTGGGGACCGGCTATGAGGTTTCACAAGATTCCACTACATTAGTTAGCTCCTTCTGCTTCCTGTGTGCAAACTGAGATGTGCTCTTAGTTATTTTCTTTCACCATGCCTCTGCTCAGCCATCATGAACCCTATGCTTCAGGAACCATAGCTTAAAATGAACCCTTCCTTGGGTAATTTGTCTTGATCATGGTGTTTTATCAAACATTAGAAAAGTAATTATTTTTCAAGACAGGGTTTTTCTGGGTAGCTTTAGCTGTCCTGGAACTCACTTCATTGCTAAGATCAAAGGTGTAAGCCACTACATCTAGCCCACATCAATTATTACCACCATTTCTATAAGGCCTCAACTTATCATAGATGGATTAAAGAGGGGTGAATAGGACAACTGATGTCTTGGATAAAAAAAATTCAGCAGTTGCTTGAACTATTCTTTGAAATTATATTTTAATTCCAAAAGAAATGTTTATAACAATGAAAAAATCTTAAATGAAATAAAACACACAATACAAGATAACAATCAACTAATAAGAAATGGAAGCCCACAACTATATTATAGTTCTTAACAGTATTTTCAATTAAGGCAATTTGTCCTATTGATAAGGAAATACTCAGGCTGTTTATTTTGGTTCTTTATTCATTTCTATGGGTGTTTAAAAAAACAAGAAGAGCAGATTTTTCAGGGGCTGGGGGCAAAGGATGTCCATGCACCAGAGTAGCTGTATCTTTTCTCATCCAGGAAGGAAGATGGACTCTGTGCTGTCAAGTCAGATTCTGGAGAACATTCCCAACATCTTTCAGGTCATCTCTCTGTTTGCACAGAGGACTAAGTCCTGTGATCAAAATACTTGTTATAAGGAGTCACAGATTATTTCAGTAAACACATGAGCACCAGCACATTTCATTTTATATTTACCGCTTGCTGGAGAGTGAATCAGGGAAATTATTGTCTCCTCTCGCAGATACAGTGGTAGGGTTGATCACATTCAACATCATCTAGTCTTGTTTTAGATAAAAATACACATCTTCTAGTGTTTGGATTGAAATTCGTTATGTTCAAGTCACTAAAGAACAAAAACAATGGGCAATTATTTAGTTTTGAACATTCACTGAAATGTCATGATTTTGAAAACTCTATTGGACAGAGTATATAGAATATGGAACTATTAGTCATAAGTTCATCACTAAAATGTTTTCTTTTTTATAAACTTATTAAACAAGCAATTATCTCTTGGTCATATGGAAATCCCTATCTTATTCCAGAGTTGCAATTTTTGGTCAGCATGTAAAATTGATTTTCAATATTTCCAAGCAATTATTTTATGCTAGTCTGCTTTGCCACTTATATATCATCAATAAACATGCCAGGTAGAAACCAGGTGGTGGTGGTACACACCTTTAATCCCAGCACTTGGGAGGCAGAGGCAGTCAGATCTCTGTGAGTTTGAGGCCAATCTGGTCTACAGAGTGAGTTCCAGCCCAGCCTCCAAAGCCACAGAGAAACTCTGTCTGGAAAAACAAAAAAAAACAAAAACAAACAAACAAAAACCATGCCAGGTAGAAACAAATGTGTGTAGCACACAGAACAAGGTCTCATATGATGGAGTTTTAAGAAGAGAGAGAAGATTTGGAATATAGTCATAGATAAATGAGAGCCTATAGCTAATGTTTTGGGCTGTTTTCCCTTTCTTTCTCTCCCACCTTGTAGCTAATGGGTCTGCACTGAAATATGATCATCTACTGAATTTTCTGTATGCAATACAACTCTGATTTCTGCAGGATGGTATATTAGAAGCCACAACTACCCCCTCTTTAAAAAAGAAAAAAATAAATGCTGCAAAATAAAAATAATGTATTTTTTAAAAAATCATAAGACAGAGCAAATTAGTACATAGGCTAAAACAGAAGGACCATGAGTACCAGTTCAACTTGGGCTATGTAGCAAAACCAAACGTAAAAAAAGTGATTAATAAATAAATTGATTAATTAATAAGATTATCCTTGTAAACTGACAGAATGAGATTCCTGCTCAGGCTGAGGTGTTAGCTGGAGTCAGAAAAACCTCAAATTGTCAGAGAAGCACTGTAGTCATTTTCCTCCCCTAATAGTCAGAGGAAGCTGGCTAAAGAGTGCACTCAAAATGAAGATCCTCAATAGTGAGTCCATCAAGGCACAGTGAGGTACAATGGTGGTCCCAGTATTTGGAAGGTGTGAGTAGGAGGATCACAGTTCAATACATAGGGAATATGAGGCTAGTCTGGGCTAATGTGATTCTCACAAAGAAAAAGGAAACGAAAATGAAAGCCACTCATAATAGGTGGAATTGGTCTTTAGCAAAGTAAATCACTTTCTTTGAATCTTGGATTAAGATGGGGAGAAATTGAATATTAAAATTTACTATAGGAATTTAAAAGAATGGAAAATAAATGAAAACAAGTGGCTTGTGGGATACAGACAGAACATGTTACATACATTAGGAATAGAATGTACATTAGTCATGAGACATGCTCATGGGTGCAGTCAAGAAATCATGTGTGTATGTTGAACATTTGCAAAAGGAAGAAAGGACCCATAAGCCACCAACTGTTTACAAAAGTTATATCCTAAAAGTAAATAAAATGTATGTTTACACAATGACTTGTACATGAATTGGCATGATAGCTTTCATAATGGTCAATAGCTCAAAATTGTCAAAATTTAGAAACACACATGTTAAAATGTGGGGGGAAATACCATGGTATATTTGTGTGACAAAAAGAGTGCTTTGTAACAAGAAGATTGAACCACTGATCAATGGGAAAAGCTGGAGTTAGCTAAAATAATAATAATGGTAATAACAATGGTAAAAGATGCAGAGAAAAAGGAGCCAATCGTCAATCGTTATAAAGGATATGACTCTCTGGATGTGGCCATACTAATTGACAGTACAAAAGATCACATGTCTACTTGGCTACGGCCAGGTGGCAGGCAAGGTGCAGAAAAGAACTTTGGGAGGCAATGAAATGATCCTGTTCTCTCTCTCTCTCTCTCTCTCTCTCTCTCTCTCTCTCTCTCTCTCTCTCTCTCTCGGTGGTTTCTATTGCTGTGATGAAACACCATGAGCAAAAGCAACTTGAGGATAGTTTATTTTACTTAAATGTACATATCATAGTGCATCATCAAAGGAAGTCAGAGGAAGAATTAAACTGGGCAGGAGCTTAGTGGAACAATCTGATGCATGCCAGTGGCCATGACAGAGGAGCGGCAGATGGCATTTGACTTCAGGAGATTGACCCACCAGGAAACAAAATCCTGATGGGTGAATCTTGTATAGGGAAGACCAGGAGACTACAGGCCCCAGACCCCAGAATGTCTTTTGCTTCTTCTGTGCCTTCACCTTTTTGCTGCTGCCTTCTTCCTCTAGTATCTGACATGGTGTGAGTTGGCATGGGGAGACCCCACTGCCATTAAAGCAGTATGATCATCTCTTGGAAATATCCCAGTCTTCTGGGAAATGTTACCTGTGGATTATTATGAAGATGATATCCTCCTAAGATATACTGTTTAACTGAAGCTGTGATATTATACAATAATAGTGTTAGTTTAAATAGGATTTTGATGATTGAAGGTGTTTAATAAATATAGCAAGGAATTATGATAGAGGTTATTTTAGTTGAAAAATTAACAAAGGCAATGGTTGGATAAAATGTTACCTCTGCCTCTGATAAAGCAGAGGCTGCAGAGGATAAAATTTTTTTTAAAAAAAAGGAAATGTGACTCAACTAGAACACAAAAGTTTCTATTGAGGAGTCATATAGACTGTGGCTTAGGTTAATGATGAAGAAAAACAATTGAGTCCCAGTACCCCAGTTAGCTTAAATTCTTTAATATTAAGTAGAAATATGGTTAGCAAGTTTCAGTGTTCATCGTAGCTGAAACAGTCTTAAAATGACTTCACTTTAGATTATGATGTTTTGATAATAGCTTTGAAATGGAAAACACTAGAAAACAATCTGAAGTTCACAAGGACACACAGCTAAGGAATAGATTCATTTGGTTAGGGAATCAAAAAACACAGAGGCCCAATTATTACTAGCTGACATGCTTTTCCTGATAGGGCTGATGGTTAATCAAAGATGATGATTAATTCCTTGTACACATTTCTGCCTCCAATCTTCTGATAACACAAGAAAAAAAATTACTATCGATGGGTGGGTTTGTACCCTAAAGTTTTAAAGTAGAGATAACTGATTATTTTCAAATATAAAAGTTTAGGTTTGTGATTCTTTTAAGATTCCTTACAAGATTATCTTTCAAAATAAGTAATAAAGTGATTGATTCTTTCTTTGCAACCAAATATGCAGTCTGACAGCAAAATAACTGCCTGAGAAAAATCCCTTGCTTGCTCACACCCTGTCAACCTATATCAAGTTACTTAGATGTAAATGTATGTGGGTTCTTGGGATGACTTTGTTTTAATTATGTAAGAGGCATGAAAACATGTTTTTATCTGTGTTCATTGTAATAATTTACTTGAAAGCAGAATATAACCACATTATAATTTCTATATTGCCTAAAAGATTTTGTTCAAGTATATAAGCTGAAAAGGAAAATATATTTAGAGAATAGATACGAGAGACTAGAGAATAAGAAATACAGAAGTAGGAAGCCATCAAGAGAATGTGTGAGTGTTTTTCCCCTTACACCCTTGGATAAAAATAGTATAGTAAGCCACTCTGTGGATTTCTTTTGAGCTCTACTCTCCTGGAAGCTGGCTCCTCATTCAGGGCTCCATGCATGTGTTACAAAGGAGTGCAACTTACTGGCTTGCTTCAATAATTTGCTCAGCCTACTTTCTTACAGCATGCAAGAGTAGCAGGCCAGGGGTGATACTACCTACAATGTGCTGTGACCTCCCACATTAGTCACTAATTAAGAAAATACCCTATAGACTTGCCTACAGCCAGATATTATTGAGGCAATTTCTCATTAGAGGTTCGCTCTTCTTAGAGGACTCTAGCTTGTGTCAAGTTGACATAAACAGCTTGCACACTGTGGCTTGTAAAGGTGTACATATCTGCTAAAACACGTATTTCTCAAGAGTTACATTGGATGCATTTCATTTCATTGGATTCACACACCAACTTCAAGACTTAATTTTTTAAAATGTAATTTTAAAAAAAAAGGAGGAAAGGAAGAAAGCAATCAGGAGTCAAACTGTTGTATAATAAAAGGATATTACAAGTGAACACACTGCATGATCCTCCATATGAAGAAACACCAACAAGGACACGCTCCAGAAAACTGACAAAACTGACTAATATGAATGTGGATTACAGATTAGAACATTTTACTAGATCAATCTACATTTCTTGAGTTCAATCATTTCAGTATGCTGTTGTAAAAGAAATTGCTAATCCCTAGCATATATTTTGCAGCAAATAAATGCATTCTATAGATGACAAATTCTTCTACATGCAAAAAGCAAACAGTAAGAAACCAACTAACAAACAGAAACCCTCATCTGCATCCTAGTTCTTAAATGTAATGTCAAAGCCATGGATATTGAAATGATTTCTTCTAGTAAGGATGAGAGATATGCACTCTTTATTAGGGTTCTTTTTAAGTTCAATGTGTCATTCAGGGGAAAAAGGACATTGATTTCTCAGGGTCTTTTACATCCATTGTAGAAGGCATCCATTCTACAAACACAAGCTGCTGTGTGTGCAAGGAAAAAATGGCTCCTGCTGTGTTAAGACAGATTTCAGAAGAACTTTTCTACCCTTTCCAGCTCATCACCCTATTTGCACAGCAGACTCAGACCTGTGGTTAAAACATTTTGCTGTGAGGTAGTCACAAATTGTCACAGGAAACCAACAAAGATGACCACATTCCATTTTTACCTTTCCTATGCACTGCACACTGAATCAGAAAATTAATCCACTTTGTTTTCACACATACAGGAGTGAGTTCTAGCACAGTCATCATTATTTGTACCTGGGGAACTCAAAAATGCACTGCCTCCTGTCTTACATAGAGAGCTCATCACTATCAAGTCACTATAAAATGAAAAATATAATGGGCA